CCGGTTAATGAAACTATCAGCCGGCTAAGCGGCTAAGCGGTCGGCTAAGCGGCTAGCTTAATCGGCTTAGAACACTACATTTTGTAATGAATAAAATAAGGGAGTTGTAAACCCGATTGCTGTAATATAACCAGTTTCTATTCTAAAACACAGGTTGTAATTATTCTTTTTCTGCTGCTCAAGAAAAGTACATGCAAATATAATGTAATTTCTTCACTTTTATAAAATTTTTGTGCATAATAGAACTACCAGTAGTGGATTTGTTTCTAAGTAATTTTAGATATATCAAATTTCTTTTGAAGATGAGTTCGTAAGTGTACTGGATCCATATTTAGGTTTTTCATAATTTTTTGCTTTACTTCCAGAAATGTTGCGATATCGATAGGCCTTTTATATATTAACTCATACCGCAGTCTTTGCCACAGTCTTACTTTGGCTTTTGCAGCTGGAATATCAATATTAATTATTAATTTGCCATTATAATTGAAATAATCGATTCTTTTGCGATTCAAGTCTTTATATTTAGATTCTATCTCAGTACTTTGAGAATATACAAAGTATGCATTACCAACACCTTCAAAATGTGATGAAATGTTTGGTGCAGTTGTAGCACTATATAATTAAAATATTAGATTAAAGATTAGACTTTAAAAGAAATGTTTTTTAAAAAAAATTAAGACAAGTAATTTTATAATTTATTTATATCCATTTAAAATTATCTCCTTCTTCAATTTCATCAATGATCAGTTTTGTCATTATTCTGATATTGTTGCCAACACTATTAAGAGTAGCTTCATCAAGTTTAATATAAAAAGTAGAAAATAGAGCAATATCATGTTCTAATCCATCAATCATGTCAGAAATATAATTATTAATTTCATTAATTACAATTATTTCAATAGGGACTTCTTTACTATCAATATCAGCTGATTTTTGGATTTTTTTTTCAGCTCTATTAGTTTTGCATTTAGCATATATCTTATATAATTTATTTTCATATATAAATGCTTCAGGAGAAAGCATATGATTACAAGAGATGCAGGTATTCATTAGATCGCAATTGCATTAATTTGATTATAGTTAAGGCTTTAGAGATAAGTTTTTAAAAAATTTTTGTTAAATTATTTAATACTAACAAATCTATTATATAGGCATTTTGTAATAGTAAAAATAAGGTAATAATTAAGCAATTCCGATTTATTTTATTATTTTTCGATTTATTTGTAATTTATTTGACTTTTATTTTTTTTTTGATTAGAATTACAAATTATCATAATTTCGTAATTTTATTAATTTGCATAAAGTTAGAGTGATATATTTTATACAAATTATGACTATAAACTTTTATGTAATTTTACTTAGAGATGAGTATAGTCAGTTATTCTCATTTAACTGTTTTATTCCTATTAGATATATCTTGTGATCCACTGATTTAAATCAGATGATTTTGATACCATTTAATTCATTCAATTAAGATGGTCGAATAGTTCCAAAATCATCTTATTTGGATAACTATATTACAAGATATAGCCAACAATCATAAAACGGTTGACCAAAAATAACTGACCGTACCCATTCCTAATTTTATTATTATTTTATATCAAATGATATAATACTTGAGATATAGAGTGCTAAATTAATTGATTAAATTAGTAGAAAATTAGTTTATTTTGCAAGCAATTTTATTATTACGATGGTAAAAAAAAGCTACCATATATTGCCGAAAATAGGCTACGCCAAAAATAAGCTACTATTTTATTTTAGATATAAAATTTATAAAATTTATAATTCCGAAAATA